AGATTGACAGGCTCTGCTAACTTCATCCATGAATGGTACTCAGACTGTGAAGTACCAAGATGATTTCTCTTGACAGAATCATCGGTCAACATGCTACTAGATAAGTCATTTCTCTTGTGGCAGCTGACTCTTGTTTCAACAGGGTATTCAAGCCTCTCTTCTCTGACAAGATTGAGCTCTTTACCGGTTGTTCATTGTGTAAACTTACTTGATGTCGATCAGTTGTTTTGTATGTAGAAGAATGTTTATTATGATAATGATAATTCTAATGCAACACATATGTAAGTCTTAAAGTTTGAACAACTTTGAATGAAATGGCGTCGCAACTCTGTTGTGAACGAGTCACTAGCTAGAGAGAAACATTTGCAAATTCCTTTTTATGAAAGATAATGCAAGCATATGATGCCAACACAGATATTGAGACGTACCTCTTAGGAGTCAGTTAAACGCTATCTCGTTGTAGCACGCTTTTGAATTGACCCATGCTTCAGTTAGGACTTTTATGGGTTGTAACGTGGCTTGGTTCAAGGTTTTAGAAAAAAGGATTTAAGGCTCAAAATTATTTGGTGCCCACCCATTCTCCATGATGTTCTCCCTTCCTACGTTCAGTTGACCTAATGCAAGCATTCGTGTCTCGAGAAGAGTTTGCGATGATTGAGGAATCACTGTGGTTTCTTGGACACGACAGTTACTTCACCTTTTGCTTTTGGTGTCTGATCACACGACTTTGTTCTTTCATGAGGATTTTCATTGGTAACCCTTTTCTCGCCTTTTAGGCTTTATTCAATCTCTTTCTTGTTTTCCCTAATTTTTGCCTGGACAAATTCTTTTGAATTTCGATTTGGAAGTCCAGCGGGATGCCCCAATTTTTTCCTAAGTGACTCGTTTTCAAGTTTCGACTTAGCGGGGATTTTTGTTTTTTTCTCATTCGTATTTTTTCGTTTTGAACAAGTCGTTGATCTTTGCGTTGTTTTTGATTTGTCGGAAGTGATCGCGACTGCCTGAGTCTCTAGTAGATGATGGATAACCATTATTGTATCATCATTTGTTGACCTTTTGACGTGCGAGGGATACTCATTGGGGTATCGTTAGTTGATGCACGTTGCTGATAGACGAAGGTTAACCATTGTGGTTTTGACTTCCCTCGACCTTTTGATGGATAACCATTGTCGTATCCTTGGATGCACACTCTTGATGAGTTCTGAATGCTTGATCAGATTAGCTGAACACTACCCGCCCCGAGGTTAAGATGAGGGTTTTTTCTAAATAGAAAAGAAACTCCTACTTCGAAGGCTCAAAGGGGTTGACGAGGGTCTATCTCCCTTATATCTCCGGTGTTTAGGGATTTGAAACAAGGCCTGTACATCGTCAGCAGGGTCTTACTCAAAAGCGTACCAACCAGAGATTTTGCGTTTTCAGATTGTCGTCATCCTCCTTTGAATCTTTACCTAAGCATAAGACTAGGAAATCTGGCATCAATATGCAAGTAAAACATTTGAAGAGTGATAACGAATGGACGAGTAAAAATGAAATGAACACTTCAAGACAAGCATATTTATTGCATTAAGATTTTCGTTCAAAAATAGACAAGTTTCTATATACAAGCAATGTTTAAACAAACAAGCAAGAATGCAAATGAAAATGCAGTAAAAGAAACCAATGATTGCCATTGTTGAGGAGACTTGACTCCGTATGGACTTGCTGATCTTGACGACTTTCTGTAGCCTTGCTGCTTGAGTGCGCGAGAGAATCCCCTTTCAGATTTGATGTGAACACAACAGTCTCTGAATTGATCCAGTCTTGGACTTGGTCTTTGGATGACATACCTTCTTCAATCGATTGGCTAAGTGCCCCAATATAATATGCATCACCAAGAACATAATGTTTTTAAAGAAATAATAGACATCATGATCAGAGTTTCCATGACCTGGCTTATCTGACTCTTTAATCCATTATCTTCCTGCCTGAAGAAGTTTCTAACTATGAGCCAAAGCTTGCATGTACCACTCAGAGTTATTCTGCATCTGATCCCTGAACATGTGCGGTGAGAAATCAGGTTGAACCTTTGAAGAGAACCCCAGGTCTGAATAAGAATCCCCAATCTTCGGGTACCTGCCATGAATGCATGAATATGCATGGGGTGTATGAATGTCATGTTCTGTCATTTCCAATGAATTTTCGTGTTTTGATTTTGATTTTACGCAAGTAAGGGATGGAAGAGTTTAGTATAAGACTTGCAAATGTGATTCCTTGGAGATAACAAAACATGTATGTTAAGCATGTAGTTAGCTATGTTATGCATGCAAAGGCATGAGATCAAAGAGGATCAAGGTTCCATTATTTCTGAATAAGATTGATGCACTGCTCTGAATCATGTGAGTATCATCAGATCAAAGGTCTGGCACAACTTCTGCATATATAAAAACCAAGTACCCTGTGGACCTCCCATTGTACGGGGTCAAGGCTTCTGGAACATCGGATACTGTTGAGAATTTTCTGAATATGCCGGGAATACCAAGATTGAAGGCTTGAATGAACCTCCAGATAAACAAGTCAGGAACTCAGAAAATAAATCTGAAAACCATACGGTCATCGACAGAATATAGCATCTGCATAAAGTCACAACAGAAATCCAGAACATAGCCATTAGAACCAATAGCCACTGTCTGAGCATAGTCACCATTTGAACACGAGTAACCATCTGCACATAGTCACCATCTGTACCTGTGATAGAAATTCCCTCCCCACTCACGGGTGAAAACTAGGTCAGGGTAAGATAATGGTAACTCGAAAATCATGGGTTCTCCTGAAAGTGCTATGGGCTTGCCCACAGCCGTGGGTGCCGATAGTAATTCATTTGAACCTCATCCGAGCGTGGTATATGACATGACTGCACTAATCGGACCACGTCCTATAGCCGTCATGCCCCCACTCTATTCCTAGTGTCCTAGTGCACTATGACCTGGGTATTGGGCCTTTTACCTCAAAAGTGACATCACCACCCAACATAGAGAACATAGTCCAACATAATATATAACAAATATGGAAAGCCATAAAATGCAATGCAAACTTATGCTTAGATAAACATGTACAAATGAGTAAACTGAAAGCATAAAAATAAACACCCTAAGGAAAGAAAACAAGAGCTAGGAGCGACTCCGGGATGGACCAGCATTTGGTCGACCTATTCCCCAGTGAAGTCGCCAGCTGAAACAACCGGCTGAAAATCATCAAACAATGAAGTCGCCATCGAACGTCTTTTATCCCACATGTAGGGAAAGGTAAACATCGAGAAAACCTGAGAAGGGAGAAGTCACGGTCTTGCGACCGAGAGATCGGGTAAGGGAGTCTGTTACGCGAGGGGAAGGTATTAGCACCCCACACGCCCGTAGTACTCTACGGTATCCACTCTTGTTATCTATCTTATGGGTGTGTTTAATCTATGCTTACTGTCTTCTATACTGCTAAAGGGAGAATGCATGAAAAAGAAAGGAGAAAAAGAATGTAGGGAAAATGAAATTGTGCTTGCCTGGGCCCTACTCCAATGCCTACGTATCCTTTTTGAGGAATCAGAGCTACCGTAGTTCGGCTCATATTTTTTGTTTGTTTTGTGTTTTTTATGGACGAAGTTAATTCCGCCTTCTGCCGCAGCTCGACCTTTGGAGACTTATGCGTTGGCACATAAGTAAATTAATCATGTCCTCACCTGAAAAGGGTTTTAGAGAGAAGTACTCGAGCGCACAAAATGGTTTGAATTTGTTTTGTATTTTCGTTGTAGATGATGACTGATTGACCTCAAGAGAGAGATATTAGCCACTTTTCTACTTAGCCATGAAAGGGGTCTTTGAGAATTGAACCACACCTATGCTTGAGATGGAGAACAATAAGATCGAGAAGAGACCCGCTTATCGTTTCCCGTACTAAGCAAAAGCATGATTCTCATCAGTAGTTTTAAAGTGTTTTGAATTTCGAAAAGAAAAAAGAAGTTTTAGTTTTAGATGCGTATGCAAAAGGGAGGAAGAAAAGTCAAATGGGGACTAGCCTATTTCTAAACCTGATGTTATTATGCGTTGTTAGACCTAAAGTTTAGATTTTTGAGGGAATTCTACCTAATGTTATCATGTTTGAATTTGAAAGCCTAATGTCTAATTTTAGTTCAATTAAATCGAAGATTAAATTTGAACCAAAATCTCCTAAGGAATCATGAAATAATATACGAACAAGTAAAATTAGGAAGAAAGTATCAAAATGTCGCATACAATCCATACCAAAAATTGCAAACGAAACACATGACATAAAAATGAGTAAAACTAATGATTAAAATTGAAAAGAAAAAGTGAGAGAATTGAAAAGAAATCTCTTTTATTTACCAATATTGCCAAAGAAAATAAATCGCCAAAATTAATCGCAAACACAATCGAAATGAGTATTGGAAATAAGATCTCAGGTGGTACGAACTGAATTCACTATGTCCTGCAAAAAAATGCAATGACATTAGGCCCCATCAAAAATAGACACAATCAGCAAAAAAATAAAAATAATCATAGTCCAGGAATTGATTAATTTGGCCCATGTCAACCATTCTTAATTTTATTAATCATCATATTATTATATTTATAATTATATTTATCTGAATTAAAAGAATTAAAAGAGAAAGTAAAAAAAGGAAAAAGGGAACTGAATGAAAAATAAAAAAGGGGAATTCAGGGTTGAAAGATAGAGTTGTTCTCTTCTTCCACGATGGCGCCGCTGGACATCTCTTTCATCGTCTTCTTTCTCAGACCGTGCCGTATTCAACTTCTTACAAACACGATTTCCTTCTCAAAACGCGGCAGAAATTCCTTACTCTCTTTCTCCTAACAGCACACCGCCACCATGGAGGTATCTCCGACGATTTCCTTCGCCTTGCGTCGTTTGTCTTAACTCCACTTCACCTTCTTCTTAACATAACCGTTGACGTGATGAATGAAGAACAAATCAAACACACACCGCCATTCTTGATGAAGACGATGCTCAGAAGTCCAGAAATGAGATTCCAGAAGCTTAGGCACGAATACACCTCTTCTTCTTCTCGCTTTCAAATTTTCCGTCTTCTGCGGCGTCGTGATGTTGCTATTGATGCAGTTTGTTAATGTGCGTTGCGAATTCGTGTTGATTGATGACATATATTGTGAAGACTCAATGATGTTGATGCGAAGATGGTGATGTTGAAGGAACAATGAATTTTGTTTTAGAGATGAAGGTTGAAGGGATATTGTTGTGATGCTGAAGTTCCAAGAATTTCAGAAAGATTTTTTGAGAGATGAGGGTTTGGTTTAAATATGAAGATGACGATGCGATTCAAAGAGAGTGCAGAGACACTGATGAAGATGAAAACCGTTTAAAGATAGAAGATAATTAAAGGTGCTGCTATGGAGTTTTGCAGAAGCTTGAAGAGTACAATGGAGGTTCAAGAAGCGATAGAGGTGATTGTGAAGTAGTTATGAAGAATTGAAGGTTGAAGAAAGTGTTTGAAGGTGTGCGATATGGTTGTTGTAGAGAGGGGAGAAGGATGGTTATGGAGGGGAGAATGAGATCAGAGCAGGGAAAGATGAAGATTCTTCTACAGAATTCCAGCGGGAATCTCAATTGGTAAGTTTTTGTCTTAATCTCTACTGTAGAGTTGAAAAATGATGAATCTGAGTCTCTTCAATCTAAAAACTGAAATTCTGTTATATGCTCTCTCATTTTTCTGTAAGGGAGTTTGTTAGATTGTATAGAAAGTTGGTTAAAGGTTGTTATGAATTGGTTTAGGTGGTTGGTTGGACTGTTAGTTGGTTAGGAAATCAAAAATTCTGTTATGCAGTTGGTTACAAGGCTGTTTCTATTTTTTGGGTTATGGAAGTTTGTTAGCTGTTAGTTTGAATCTGTTAGAAGCGGTTAGAAGGTTTGAGAGTTTTAGGAGGTTAGGGAACTGTTAGGGAATGAAATAATGGTTAAGAAATGGGAAATTCTGTTTTGGTTAACAGTTATAAAAGCTGTTAGAAAATCTGTTAGGAAATTGGTTGTTGAATTAACTGTTTTTTTAATGTGGTTATGCAGTTAAGGGGCTGTTATGATGTTTGGATTTCCGCTTATGCTGAAACTGGTATGGTATGTCTGGTTTTATGCAGGTTCAGTTGTGATTTTCAAGCATGGGATTTGGTGTTAGCAAGGGAGATAGTGGCATGGTAGAATATCCTTTCGGCTCTTTTCAAGGCTTGAAGAGAATGAAATTATGGCAGACGACAAAGAGTTTGAAGCATGGAGGCTTATCATGGAAGACTTTGAAGTATGAAGAGATAGGATTTAGGATGAGCGTTAAGGTTTAGGAATGGTTATTTCATATTATTTTTTGATGTAAAGGACATGTAACAGAGAAATATTTAGTTGTAATTGTTTTTTTTTATGGAATGAACACGGTTTGAATATCATTGATGAATCTTGTTTAAATGGTCTGGTGCTTGAGTGAGATCAAATAGATGGTGATATATTCGAACACAGCATGATAACGCTCGGGTGAATTGAACTTTGAATTTTTATGAATGATTTGGATCCTGAATGAGTTCGAAATTGATGATGAAAGGTATAGAATTCTTGGAATATGGACTTGAAAAATGCTTTGCAATTTGAATTTCACATTTTACTTGTTGTTTGTATTTCAAGCAAACCACATGACTGAACCTTCCAAATTTAGCATGAGCCAAATCCAAACTTATGTCCTTGAATAGGTTGAATTCATGGAATCACTTGAATGAATGAATTAACACATCCGAATTCCATGCATAAGAACCTTAATCCTTTTGTGATGTACCTTGGTGACTGAATGATACCGAGATATTGATAAGAAACCAAGTTTTAACTCAAAATATCTTTGTCTGAATCCTTGATGAAACCCTAGCATTCACAATCTTAATGCACTTAGTTCTTGAAGTAACTTCGATACAAACGACTGTATCCCCTGATGAACTTGGGGGAAGATACCCTTATAGCCTGATAAGAAATAAGTCCACAACAACCACGAATCAAAATCCTACCCCCGACCATAAATATTGAAGAAGCAACTTGAATCTCTTGAATGAAGATAAGAGCCTCAAAGCCATATGGGAACCCTAATTTTCAAGACCCTTGATCACGTGCCAAAAATGTTATTAGCGAATGTATGCAATGTTAAATGACCTAATGGAGTTATGTACATGCGAAAAGTGCGACAATGCGTAAACCAGATAAAAGTAGAAGGGTAGGACAAATTTGGGGTATTACACAAGGATTCCTGAAAACTCTCTGTTCAGTGAAACACATGGTCGCCTACTCAACTTGGTTACCTCCAACACAGATGAGGACATGATGAAGGTGCTCTTTCAGTTCTTTGATCTTTTACACCATTGCTTCACATTTTCCGTCTATCAACCTGTGCCTACTTTGGAAGAATTCTCCCAACTCTTGAGGATTACCATTCTCAATCAACTACCTTTCAATGGTATGGAAAGAGACCCAAAGCTAGAAGAGATTGCTCAAGCTCTACACTTGCACTCATCTGATATCACAACTCATTGGGAAACAAGGAGTGGTGTCAAAGGTTTCCTAGAAAAGTTCTTGTTTGAAAAATCCCAAAGCTATTGGAATTATTTGGACCTGCAAGCCATTGAGGAAATTGTGGCTCTCCTCGTCTATGGGATGATTTTGTTTCCAAACCCTGACCAACTCATAGATGTGAACACCATCAAAATCTTCATATCCCGTAATCCGGTGCCTACTTTGCTAGGAGACATCCTACACTCCTTTCACACTCGCACAATGAGAAAAAGAGGTGTCCTTATGTGTTGCACTCCTCTCTTGGCAAGATGGTTTATTTCGCATTTTCGCCAATCTGTACTAAAGAATGAGCAAGGTTCAAGATGGTCACAAAGGTTGATGATGCTCAAACATTCAGGCATTCATTGGTGCTCCCGATCCAAGGAGAATGTTATCATTGTCAACCTTTGTGGAGAATTCCCTAATGTCCCTTTACTTGGAATTAGGGGAGGTATCACCTACAACCCCTGCTTAGCCTTAAGACAGTTTGGTTATGCCCGAAGGGATGGCCCGCATGAGATGCTGATTCAAGGTTTGGTATTTGACTACGACAACAACAATCAAGGCCTTTGCCAAAGATTTATTCGAGATTGTAGGATGTTGAACAAGGTGGATAGCAAGACTTTGGGGCACAAGAATTCCATCCCTCTTGAGCCTTATCTCAAATGGGTATGAACTCGCGCTCAAAGTCTTATGATGCCTTATCCCTCTGTTCTCCCGGTAATTGTTGAGCTTGTCATGGAAGGATATGTTCCATACACTATCCTACACCCTGACATGCCCACATCTCTTGAAGACTTACAAATAGATTGGATACAACTCAAAGGGGAGCGAGATACTTTCTAAGCCCAATTCTACGCAAGCAAGAAGAAGGTTTTGGAACTCACTAGGCTACTTCACGAGGAGCAGACTCTGAATGTCTACATTGAACCAAAGAGGATGCGCACTACCCTTTTATCTTATAGTTTCTTGTATTTGTTTTGCCCAAGAAGGCATTATTATACTCGAGCTTTAATCTATTAATATAACGTGTGTTTCCTTTTTGTCTAAAACAAATTTGAATCTTAAAATCCTTGAAATCATTGCATACGCATTTACCATTCATCATAACATAAGCAGGTTTCTCGCAAACAAGTCTCCTCATCTTTCTACTGTTTATTTCAGTAAGATGGATCTCGAGCAAACAGTGAAGGACCTCCAAGCTCAGAATACACATTTTCAATAGTTGCTCTTGACCCTAGCCAAAGGACAAGAAGAGTTGAAGACTTTGCTGGCTGAGGAGAAGAAAAAGAAGACAAAGAAGGTAACCGAAGTCCTAAACATGGGAAGAAGATTTCATGAGCAGACAAGAAGGACCTTAGAATTCGCAACGACATCCGGTGAGAAAGGCAGTCAAGATGGGAAAGGCAAGGAAACAGTTGTCCCATCAGAATCAGAAGGGGAAGAGGAAGAAGAAGACTATTCTAAAGAACAATACCCTCCAGCTGATGACAAGTATAAACATCTCGAAGAGCGGTTGAGTGCGATGGAAATCCAAAAAGTGCCTGGCTTAGACTTTGAGGAATTAGGTTTAGTGTCGGGGATTGTTATTCCCCCGAAATTCAAAGCACCTGTGTTCGCCAAATATGATGGAGTTTCATGCCCTAAAATGCATCTCCGGTCATATGTGAGGAAAATCAAACCCCACACCGCTGACAAAGACTTATGGGTACACTTCTTCCAAGACAGTCTGTCTGGAACTCAACTTGAATGGTTTTACCAACTAGAAAGAGCCAACGTTCACAACTGGGAAGATCTTGCTGCAGCCTTCTATAAACCATACCAGTACAATGTTGATCTTACGCCTACCCGTACTCAACTTCAGAGTATGGCTATGGATTCAAATGAAGGCTTCAAGGATTATGCGCAAAAATGGAGAGACTTGGCTGGAAGAGTTCAACCTCCCCTATCTGAAAGAGAATTAGTGGACATGTTTTTGGGCACCTTGTCTGGTCCCTTCTTCAATCACCTAATTGGGAGTTCATCGAAGGCTTTTACTGAACTGTTATTGAACGGAGAAAGGGTAGAAGCCTGGATAAAGAGTGTAAATATTCAGAAAGATACATCCTCTGCTGCTATAAGGAAGACATTTATAGGAAAGAAATAAGTGGTTGTTGTTTATCCTCAGAGAAATAAAGATAGGTCCGAACACCGTCCAATGGTGGAAGCTGTTATGATTCCTAAACTTGCGCCTGATCAGCAAAGAAACAACCAACCGAGGATGGAAATACCGGTCAGGAAATTCACCAGAATTAACATGACCCTATCTCAGGTATTACCGCATCTACTAAGATCCAATTTGGTGACCTTGAAAGAAGCTTCGAAAAACCCCAACACAACATCTCCTCACTATCATCTCAATGCTCGTTGCGTATATCACTCTGAAAGTCCTGGTCATGATACTAATAACTGTTGGGCTCTAAAGAACAAAATACAAGACCTCATTGAAGCAAAAGAGATTGAATTCGATGCGCCCGAAAAACAAAATGTCATTTCTGCCCCTATGCTCAAACATGGCCATAATACCAATGCCATTGAAGAAGAAATATTTGTTACTTCAGTTGATGAACTTATGACCCCACTCCTGACTATTAAAGTAAACTTGTTGAATGCCGGTGTGTTCCCGGGCTGTGATAAACGCTGTCATTTCTGTTTGTCCTCACCAACCAGCTGTCCTTTGTTGAAAACAGGCGTTCAGTGCCTAATAGATAACAAAGAAATTTTGTTTGAAAAGACTTCAGTTCCACCTGTTCCTTTTAAAGATGTTTCTATCATCACCATTTCCGCCAATTCTTCCAGGGTCTCCACCAAAAGACCTATTAGAATTACATCAGTTCCGAAAGCAACTCCTTTGATAATTACAATTCCTGGACCAGTCCCGTATACGTCAGACAAAACCGTACCATGGAATTATGGAGGGGATGTCTACTACCACGGTATTAAGCAAGATTGGATAGATGCCGAAGATTCAAGTTCTGAGAAAGTGGATTTCGACGTCAGTAATATTGCAAGGACTAGTAAGATTACCCGAAGTGGTAGGATCTTCTCTCCAGAAATTGCTCCCCCAAAATCATTTTCTGGACCTGTAATCATTCATGTTGCTGTTTCCCCTCCAAAGGTTACTCCCAATCCCATAATCATCTCTGCAAGTACTCCTATTGATGAAGCTGTTACAATCCCTGTTATCACCCCTATTGATATTCCGGCTGCCGAGTTAACCGAGACTCGAGGAAAAAGTATTCTGATTGAGCCTGTCTGGACGAAGGCACAACCATTGACTATCCCTGAGACCTCCAGGAAAGAGATGGAGGAGATTCTAAAAATCATAAAAAGAAGCGAATACGATTTAGTTGAACAACTGGGGTAAACTCCATCTAAAATCTCCATGTTGGCTTTATTGTGGTATTCTGAGGCGCATGCATAGGCCTTGGTAAAGTTCTTAAAAACCGCCCATGTACCTCAAGAAACATCTGCTGATCAGTTCCAAGACTGCGTAGCCAGATTGACTGCAGATAATGGCTTAGGTTTTTCAGATGCTGATCTAACGCCAAGGGGAAGGAAGCATAATGAGGCATTGCATGTCTCAGTTGAATGTAGGGGCGCGACGTTGGCTCATGTGTTAGTTGATATCGGTTCATCGATGAATGTATTGCCTAAAAAAGCTCTTGATAGAATTGACTGTGAGGGATTGACATTAAAGCCAAACAACATAGTATTA